CGAAAAAACTATGGGTCTAAAATCAGTTTGGAGTTTGCCCAATTGCGAAAATAGGTTTCTTAGCATTTTGCTGTTGGGTCGTAAAGAAGCGCTTCAATTTAGTATAAAAACATGCTAAAAGGGGTTTTTTGGTATGAAGAATTCATTTCTGCACTTATCATCTTCTTAAAACTTCCACCAGAGTGCGCAACAGTCAATATTTTCCCATTCTCTTCCAAACCTATTTTCGCAATTTCAAACTCCAAATTGATTTTAGACCCATGGTTTATTCTGCAAATTTGCTTAGAATTACATGTAGAACCCTCGTATTGTCAAACAAAAATTACCCGCCCTAGTGTACACTATTAAATATTAATAATTAAATAGATAACTTCAATTACGATGATGAAAGGTGACGATGGTAGATTTATGTTCGCCGCCCTAATGTCTTCCTGATTTTAGTGTTGCTCGATTAAAAAGAAGGAAGATAGCACTGCGAAGATGGTCTTTATAGGCCACACTGGAAGGCAACTATATCTATATATCTCTAGGTAACACTAGAAGTTGGAATGGAATATCCAAGCAGGGATACTTTGAGTCGGTGAATGCGCAGTGATGCATTCTTTAAGTGGGCGCAAATCACTTCAAAACAAACATCATCGAACACAATTCCCAATTCCTTAGAAATCCCTGTATTGGCCAAAAACTAAAAAAAAGTGAGTTCAATCAGTGTGATTTTTATAATTATCTGCGAAACCACTAATAAAAATTACGCATGTTTAGCATATTTTGAGTCACAATCATTGTAGCAACAACAAAAAAAAGAAGGCCAAGCACGCAGAGCTGAAAAAATAGACACACCCTAATATATATATGTTTATGTACATTTATGCACAGCTTATCATTTACATATGCATGCAATACTCAAATAAATGTGTCAGTATTACAAATTGAGTGCGTTAATGAAAATTAAAAGTTAAATTCTTATAAATTAAATTTTAAGAATATTTTTAGATTAAATATATTTACCTACATATATCGGCACAAAGAGAATAATACACAAATGTATTGACTTTTGAAGATAATGGGTCATGCATTTGTACATTCATACATATTTACATACGTATGCATATTATTTTATGATAAGCATATATGGCTTTGATTATGAAGTTCTTCTAAATTTTTCTTGTTGTTAAGCTGTCAAATATATATATTTACTTTGCCGCCTGTTCGAAATACATATGCACATAAACACATAAATATACATATACATTAAGGTAATCACAAAATACAAAGGAAAACCAATTTTTTAGAATTTTCATGCTGCCAGAATTATAGAAAAATAAAAACCCTCATTTTTTTATATAGAAATTGGTTAATATTTAATTGTTTCACTGTAGCTTTGAAGTTTTCCATGTCTGTACATACTTACATAAAATATTGTACATGGAGAAAGCACATTTTTCCTAGTATTTCTAATAAGTGTATAAAAATTAAAATTCTTTTGACCAAATAAGAATATTTTCCTACTAAATATTTTCCTACAAATCTTCAAAAAATAAAATTATGCCTTTAGCAATTGTGAGAAAAAGCTTTCTCTTCATAACAAATATATGGGGGAACTTCAAAGCTCTGGGGGTGCCATTAAATATTAATGAATCTATATCTAGAATCTATATACTATAAATTTATAATAAAATTTTGGCCGTTTTTTTTTTGTGCTCGCATCACGTAAAAACTACTGAGCCGATTTAAATTTAATTTTCAAGAAGGCTTACAGACGAAAATATTTTTAAGGGGGGTTTCCAACTGTTGGAAAAATGTTGTTTAATTAAATTGATTTACTTACATAAAAAAAAATTTGCAAACAAATTTTCAATTTATAAAGCATTTAAAGTCTTCTTTATTTTCTATGAAATAAAAAATTTTGGACCGACCTAAAAAAGATATGTGTATGTATGTTCATAGATATAACAATGCACACCTCCAAGAAGTGAGTAGATTCGGGGATGGTAACGGTTATCTTTTTTATGTTCGGAAACGTGATTAATCGTTATTAACTCATTTAATTTTTTTCCATAACTTTTATTTTTTACACACACATATATTTTTCTTACACTCCACCCCCCCCAAATTATAAGCAACAGGTTTTTAAAAATTAATTTTTTTGTTAGTTAATTTTACTTTTTTTTTTTGTATTGATTTTTGGCTATCGTTTTGCTGACGGTATTATGGAAGCAAATGAGTGTTTTTCGAGAAAGAAAATTAAAAAAAAATCAACGGCAAGTCTTCTTTACCTTAAACTTACAATTTACTAAAATTAAAATTGGATAGGCTACAAAACTAAAACTTAAGCTAAGCAACAAAAAAATTAATTTGTCATAACTTGTCAATGTGTTTTAATTTTGACAAGGGGTGTATAATATATTAATTCTGAATTAGTGGTGCCATTACCATAGCAATTAATTGTTTCGATAAAACGTACGCGCAGCTCTGTAAACGATTATTGGTGCCATACTACAACACCAGACCCATAACCATAACCGTTAGTATCTAGTTAATTTTGACTTTTCGCCATAACCATCATCAGCACTGAAGTATTTTGCTACGTTATGGCTAAGAAGGCGTTATGGTTATGGCACCTCTAATTTGGCCTTTAATATATTTATATAATCGACAAACATTTCAAAAACTTATGTATCCGGTTTCTTAAATAAAATAAATTCTGACTCAGCAAAGTAAAAGAAGAAAATTTTACAAAACAATCGAAATAGTACATATTTTAGTCCAAAAATAACGACGAAAAGTTTAAGCACAACAGAAAATAATATTTAGGTACAGGTTGCTTCCACACCGTGCTAATTTTAGCTAGTGCGAATTTTGGGACATAATTTGCCACCTGTTAGTCTGATTTATTTTTGTGTTGGATGCAAAACAGAATTACTAAGCAGTTATTCGCTTAAGTGTGAAATAAAAATTTATGCGTTTAGCGTTTCTTTTTTTTATAAGGCCCGAGGCTTGAACAATAAGTCCGTGACTTTTTGACATATCTGCGTTGGAACTAGGAAAATGAGCTTGATCCCTGCAACTATTATGTACATAGCGGCTAATAGACTAAATACTACAAAATATTGAGCAAAGCGAATTAATTCGTTTGTGTTTTACAGATATTATAAGCAGACTACATACATATGTATTACAGTTTTTCAAATGAACATTGTATAGCCAAGTCCACAGGGATTACTTTGAAAAGAAAAAAACAAATAAAACAGTGCTCTTTCACCAAATCAATAGATGGCTGGCCACGATCGTAGTCGTCATGGCGAAATTTCATAACTCGGTCAACGAATACCTTAAGTGAGCAACAAAAGTATTTTCACAGAGAATTTTTCGCAATATACGCAAAGTTTTTCTATAATTTTTTATAAAAATATAGTTCAAACTACACCAAAAAGTACAGGAAAATTCTAATATCTGCAGCATGGAAACCACATATTTCTTCTTCCATCAGCATTTTGTGAACACAGAAGGAGTTTTTTCCTTTTCAACTTATAATTTATGGTCCAAAATGCTTTCGAGTGGATTGAAGTCGGATCTTAAAGTATGATTTATCGATGTGCTTGCCCCGAGGAGAACTTTTTTAAAGTTTGAAAATTCATTATCCTCAAGTACACTGTTCTATTTTGTACTTACCCATCAGATCCCAGTTCCTACCACCCTAACGTAGCACCGAAATGTCAGTAAATAAATTAAAGCTCGCCAAAAAATCATTAAACTTTTGATAGGGAAGTTTTTCGATTTCGATTTTTTTTGCCGCCTTTCGGGTCGCATTTTTTAAATTTATCGTTATATCTTCGGCATTTACCAACAGATCTTAAAGTATCGACGTTTCTAGTTAGTTGGTTAATTTACTGGGTGTACTTGAACACGAGACACCGCGACCTAAAAGACCTTTTGTATCACTTAAAAGAAGTCCATAACCCAATGTGGCCAAGATACCTTCGGCTTCCCTAATGAATCCTAAAAGGGCCCTGGTAGAAAAATTCTTTATAACAAAGGGTTCGACCATCAAAGATTTAAAATAGATAAGTCTTTGTCTGGCTAAAGCCGGACAGTGACAGATAATATTCTCCGAAATTGCATCAGCCTCGAGGCAGATCCGGCATTCCGACTCTGTGATCGCACCTATTTATTCGGTGCAATTGGTTGTGACCGGTCAGATACCCAGAAAGTAGCCTGATCTCATATCGATTTGCTAGGACAATGTCATTTCTGTTAAAAGGGTAGCCGAAGAGCCTGTCCTGTCTAAAAATCACCAACCCAATCTGAATTCGTAATGTTTTTGAACCATTTTAATGCCCCCAAACCTGTCTTAAATAAACTATCTATTTAATTGATTATTAAGTTTTAACGTCGAGAAAAAAAGAAAACAACGTTGAACAAAATAACAAAAAACACCCTTTAAAATTATTTTAGAATGACTTTAGGAGTTGTTAAAATTTCTTTAACATTCATTGCATTTCATTCAACTAAAACTAATTCATTAAATCGAATATTCTTGCAGCAACCAAATCTCAATCTTTGCGGTACATACCCATCTTAAATAAAATTAGCACATCGATTTTTATTAAAACATTCTTCATTATTAATACAATAATATAACAGCATTTTATTAATTGTTAATTGATTATTAACATAGAGCAGCAGCAGGAATTAGAATACAATAATTTACAAATGTGCCATGTCAGCCGGTGCCGCCCATCACTTAAAGAATAAATATATTGATCTATAAATTAGCTGGAAAAATTTTTAAGTGAGCATGTATGTAAATAAATATAATGAAAACAAAAAGTCAGTAAATACTAGCATGTTTATGTATATGCATATGTATGTATGTACGATTAGGATATTTTATTTTGTTTTTTTTTACAAACAAGGGAATACAAAAAAAATATCACTAGCAACATAAAAATGCTTTAATTTAATGGTTAAATTACTGAATTTTCTTCCAGTACAATAATTTTGAATTTTTTTGAAGTAACACTGTGCAACAAATTTCAAAACGTTGGAGGTGATGGTAATCGGACAAACAGCATTTGATTAAGCTGGTCAAATAATAAAAAACTTCCAAAGGATCTAAAAAAGTTGGTTACCATTTCTTTTTAATCGCAATTTGAAGTTGGAGAAATAAGATCCCAATGAGAACGTATAATTTAAAAACACATTTTCCAAAGTTAGTGGAGCGGGCAGGGGAGGGGGTGGGAGGAGGTTTTGGCACAGCTCAATGTTCAAGTGGAAAAATTGTGTTATATGTACATATATATCGCACACATAGGTCTAGAGTGCGATCAACTCAAAAAAAAATGTTGGTAGATTTTTTTTTTGCATAAATCAATTCATAGGACTCACATCCAGTTAATGGAAATAATTTTTTTCTTCATGATTATATACATTAACCAAAAAAATACATTAACCAAAAACCTACTGCGCGAAACCAAAAAAATCATTGTACTTGTTTATTTTTGAACTTTAAATTCACATGTTAAAATCGATATAAAAAGGAAATGGGAACCAACTTTTACAAATCCTTTGGTATATAGTAATATTTTGACCACTTTTAATGAACACAATTGGTCTCATTCCCATCGCTTTTTGAGTGTTGCACTACGCAATTTTCGTGCGTATTAAAATGCATAAGTAGTACGTAAATTTTAAAGGTATGCAGGTATTTTATATAACTATTCTAACATATTTTTCACATAGTCACAACAATTTAAAAAAAAAATCCCATTTTTACTGAGTTTAGTCATCAAAATAGTTTTCAAAGTATTTTTCATACATACCTACACATATACATACATACATAAAATGAAGATGTGCAGATATGACTTATTGACTAGAAATTTCGCATCAATTTTCAAGTCTTTTTCTTTTTAAACACATACATACATACATTTGTATGTTCATATCTTTGTATCAAAAGTGGACGAGTATTATTTTTTTCTATAAATATTTTATGTTCCCATACTTTCTGCCTCAACATTGAATAATAATCGATAACAAAATTTAAATTGATCTCAATTGGTAAACTAAATTTACTAAATATAATACTGGTACTTTAAATAAAAATTTGAATAAAAACTAAGAAACATTAATTCCAGCTATGTATGTATATCAAGTTGATCAAAATTTGTTCTTTATGTCGTTGCGAAATCCCACTGGAAATCTGACATACAGCCATGCACAATATATGTATGTAAAAATGTACAACAATGCAATAACAACAATCCATTTAAGTATCCTTTTCTTGAAAGTTTTAGGGCGCTAAAATCTTTTGCGGTATATGTGTAGCGAGATATTGTTTGTGTAATCGTTGCAGACAGAATTGATAGAATTCGATTTCGTTTGTAAAATTATGTCGCACAATGTCTTTCACTTTTTCGCTCACTGGTGGCTTGAAGTTATTCTTATTGATCTTTGTCAAGTATTCAGCGCTAGCTGTGGAGATAGGAAAAGAAATATAAGTTTAAAAACAATAAGATAAGTAATGTTGAAAACTAGAGTTATGTATTTAATATGTATAATTATTTATTTAATCAGTTAGTACTAGGAATGTTAATCCCGGATCCCGGCCTTTTTAAGGTCTCAAAAATCTCGGGATTCTTGGCAAATAATTCCGGGATTTTCGGGATTTTCACTGATGGCAATAATAGAAACTCGTTTTCTTGACCAGTATTGGCTATATATTTTTTTTAAATTTGATAATTAATATTTTTTATAAATATCTAGCTCATTATACATATAACACCGCGCGATAGTTAAACCAAGGAATGAAACCGAAACCCAAACCGAAACCGTAACCGTTTAAAACCGTTTCGTTTTTCAAAACCGAAACCGAAACCGTAACCGTTATCTTAACCTGAAAAGGAACGATACCGAAACCATTTCAATCACAGGTTTCAATCGGTTTCCAGAAATTTACAAAAATAATAAATCAAAATTTCTTTGAAATAATTGATTTATTTAACCAAAATCAGCAATATTTTGCTAAAATTCTTGTTAAGTAGTAAATAAGTATGTCAAGGTAACATTTCGCAAAAAGCTACTAAAATGGTGCCTAATAAATTAAATCTCGGATCTGGCATCGGTTATTTGGAAGAAGTCATTTTGATTCTCATTTTCACGTGTATAGTTGTAAAGGACACAGAAATGAAGGGGTTTCATAATTATGTAGTAAATATATGACGAAAATAACAATTATATTTTTTAGTTTTCATACACCTTTAGTTTTTAGCTTAGTATCCAGCTCTTAAGAAAACGGTCAAGAAAAAATTGCCATTATTTCGCGTGTGTGTCCAAGGAATTTTGACATTTTTGATAACGCACAGCCTGTTGCCTCACTCTTTCCTCAAGAAATAATGGAACGGGCATATATTTCTGTTGCAAACCTGGGTTGCCTTGTGCTCTTTTTTCACAAAAAACTTTAGAAAACCGTAGTAGAAAGCGTACTAAATTTCTGAAGAACTGCGTACTGCCTTAACGAAATTTGACTCAAGAAAATTTCTTAGCCATTTCTTGTACGTCATTTTATATGGAGTTTTTGCTTTTCTTAAGAGCTGGATACTAAGCTTAACAGCAAAAAGGAAACATTTAAGTGAATCTGGTGATGACGTTGTTGCTGTGTATCTGTGTAGTTTTTAGCGAAAACTGGTTTTCGTTTGACAGATTTTACATGGACGAAAACACAAGTTTAAGGTCGAAAACCAGTTTTAGCAATGAAAACATGTTTCCGATGTCGGCCAGAACATGGTATAAGTGACAAAAACAAGAACAACGTGAATCAGCTGTTTCTCGACTTGTGGGCACGAAATGTGGTTTTTGCGTTCCCGTACTTCTGGACTTTGTTCCATTTTTGAAAAAAAATGTTTCTCTTATTCTCTAATTACCAAATCCAGTCCGGATTGTTAGGGAAAGAACCTAGTGTTGATATTATCAGTGAACTGTAATTTTCAATTTTCTTTCCTCAACCTTTAAGACATTGTGATTTAAATAATATCAACAAAATTTCTGTGAAAACCCGAAACCGGAACGAAACCGAAACCAAAACCGAAATAAATTTTGAAGAACGAAACCAAAACCGAAACCGAAACACTTGGCAAAACCGAAACCCAAACCGGAACGTTACTTTGAATCGGTTTCATTCCTTGTTTTAAACACAAATATCAATATATTTGCGAAACCATGGCCCAAATATAGTAAAATCGCGTTTTTAGTTTTTCACTCTGACGTCAGTAATTCAAAAATGATTTAAAAAATTCAGAGAAATGTGCTTAGAGAAGTATGGGTATCAAATTCCCATTTCCTGTAGAAATTAAACGACTGGTAAGTATTGAAAATGTCCTTTTAAAATTATATCCTTCAAATTTCGCAATATTTGTTTTTGAAAAAATTATATGTTAAGGACTTATATAAACGCGATAACATCCTCGAATTTCGTCCTTCCAAATTTATCAGCTTAAAATCCTTGTGAATCCAAAAAATTAATTTTTTTTTTAATTCTTAAGAAATTTCCTCTTTCATTTGGTACCCATATTTTTATTCTACATTGTATTGAATTTTTTAAATAATTATTGGAATTAATCATATCTTTGAAATTACAACATCCTTTAAAATAAAGGGATTCCGAGATTGTGATAACAACATACCGAAAATCCCGGGATCGGAAAAAGCTGAAAAATTAACATCCCTAGCTTGTACTAAGGACCGCCATTAAACTGATGTCATAGATTTTATATTTCTCAGGTTTATTAGGAGACGAGCTGGCGATATTTTCAGTAAATTTGATTGATATTTTATGGCAAATCAGTCAGGCTATTTAAGGTTACAGGCCTTCTTTGAACCACATATAGGCTCTACGAAAGGCCTATTTGTGGTGGTAGTAACAGTACCAAAGCAAAGTAATAAAAGTTAAACCTCGGAAGACAATCCTTCCTCCGATTATATACCCTTGAGTATGGAAGTGTGTCGTCGCTTAATTATGATAATTATCATTCTCCGGATATCCCCTGAATTGAGTGTTGTTATAAATAGCAGACCCTTTCACAATTACAATGTGCAAAGGAGGTCTAGGGTGTTGTTATCATTGCACCAGATGTTTTGGACTTGTAAAGGGTAGCCATCGTGAACTTTCGTTCGTTTTGTCTTCCAGCAGATAGGCTAGACAAATTTTAAAAAGTCTTGTGGAAATAGTTTTTGCCAGTTTGAGCCTGAATGGCCAGTTCCCTTCCAGTAGCTTTGGGCAGGTCCAAATGTGGGCCGCGGTCCTTTTATTAGTTCTCTGAATTCATATCTCCTAGCATGCCCAGAATTGCGAGAGCTGAAAAGGCAGTAAATAGGTAAATTCCTCTCGAAGCTCTGTGGCGAAGGTATCGTCTGCCCCCGAGGCTCTTCAAGGCGCAGAAGCAGATAGGAATATAAAGCCCGCTTTATTCTCACTTCATCGAATGAGCCTCTATCTACCCATCAGAGTGGTAATTTTTTCCCAATCTGCTTGGGGACGATCTTCGGCTAGTAAATTAGAAGATTCCTTGCAGCTGTTCCTGAATAATCTATCAGAGCATTTCAGGTGATCTAGTTAATTAGAGTTCGTTTTAACAAGAGCTCTTTCGATTCTGATACTCGCGAAAAGGTCGATGAGTTTCTTTTATCAGTTCCAGTTAGCAGTTCTTTAAGCAGAGCCCTGCAGAAGTAATTCGTTTATATCCTTGTCTGCAAAGGCTTCTAATCAGTATGATTTGAGAAAGAGGAAACAACCCTGCGGACTCGCAAAGACATTTGCTTCTCTTCAAAGAAATAACTAACCCACTCAGAGAACGGAAGATCGAAGGCAGATCGTGCAATTGGCAATCGGTGATGGGAGAAAAGATCAGTTCAATATCCTTTCTACTACAGTCTGCAGTATCTGGCAGTAGTTTAAACGCGGAAAGGGACGGGGCGTTGATACTCAACCTGCGGAGATGTTTCGGAAATGGTTTTAGTGCATCATTCCTCGCCGAGCAGAGTGGCGGGCTAATAGTTGGAACGGGTTTCCATCCTATACTGCCATCAATAAGACAGATCAGGCCTATTAGAGGCTCTAGCTTTTGAGCTGGAATCTTTTTCGAGACGAAATATTCTTTCATTCAAGCAAAAGTTATTGAAGCTGTAATAAAATGGCCAAAAGCGATGGTAAATTATTCATGTGCTGGATAAACACCTAAACTAATCGATTTTCAGAGATTTTGTCAATCTTAGGAGGGCAGCTGGTCAGTGATAAGGAATCACGACTCACTCTAGACTGCTTGCTTAACAAAAGGGGGCACATTTCCGAAATACGATACATAGAAAACCCAACCTCACAAATAACAATTAAAAAAAAATTAAAAATTATCAAAAAGCACAAAACTTAAACCGACTTTAGTGTATAGACATAACTAAATCCAACAGGATCTGCTATGATTCGGAAGGGTCCAGTTTTAATGTTTATTGAGCGACCTTCGAGTGTCAATGTGACCAGGTAATCTCAAATAAGCCAATTCTTTTTGAACAAATTTCTAAGCTTTGGACGTGATTACGTCTAGGCAACTTGTTTCGAATGCTTAATCCGGCCTCTGTAAAGGCATGTTATTTCTTCAGTCAAGTAAAATACTTCCACTAATTGTTATTTTTTATAGCCGCGAAAGGACACAGTGAGAAAACGCATGAATCAGTTTTCCGAGTTTCACGCTTTGGTCGAACTAAAAATATGAATTTTTCAAAATTTGTTCTAACTCCAAAGGTTTTTAGGTTAGGTTTTTGAAACAGACTAGCTACTTACTTTGGTATATCTCTCGTACTCCTTCAAAGAATCGTGGTATATACTTCTCAAAAACCGACAGAGTTGTATTCATATCTTCTAAAACACCAACAACGGCATATTGACTTTCGACAGCAAATTTCGCGCGTTCCAAAGCGCCAATAGTATTAAAAGGTCTGCAAGTTAAAACAAAAATATAAATTTCAAATAAATAATCTAAAACTCAAAATTAATATCAAATTCATATTGCCGCTTTATGCTCACGTGCATTCGTATGCGTGTCCACAAAAGAACAAACTCTGTCGCCGATGATCACCAATGCCTTCTACGGTCACACCCTGCGTATAGGTGCACTCCTGATCACCCGACAACACACAAGTCTCGAAATCTTTCTTAAGCCATGCCGGATGTGGCAACGGCAAGTCGGGGAAAGCAGCTTTGCGCTCAACAAAGTACCAGGGAG